TTCTATATTTTATTGTTTGTTAGATTAGTATTTCATTTTTAGATAAAGTAATATAAATAGAGCTTGATTAAATATTAGTGTAATTTAATTTGCAAAGATAATATAAACTTCGAAGAATGTTTTTGCTAAAAACTAAACTTATAGCTTCATAAATTAATATTATAAAAAGTTTATTAAAAAGGAACTTTTTAAACAATTTTTTTTTTAAACAATACAATTTTAAAATTTTACATTGAAATAAATTTATCTAATCTATATAACGTATAAATTTTGTTAAAGGTATATAAATATTACATATTAATAATCTGTGATTTTTGTTAATATATTCTGGATGCATTTAACTATTATTGACATATTTCCTTATAAATAATAGAAGTTTCCTAAAGTTATATCTATTGACATATTTTGCGTGACTAAGTTGGAAGGTGTGGGGTAATTTACCAAAACAAAATTGTTAAGCATATTATAAGATAAAATAATGATAATATTATTAGAGAGTTAATGTAACATAACTTTCTAGTAACAGTCCATTTTTTTAGAAATCACACATGAAATCAAGTCATGACTTCTGTTTTAATATATAAGATTCAGCAAAAGTAGTATTACAACATTAGTTTTTTTTTTTTAACTCTCTAGTTATACTCTGCAGATCTCTGTCTTAAGCCAGCTTCGACATCCACATGTGGTTCTTCTCCTCGGTGCTTGTCCTGATAACGGTTGCCTTGTCTATGAGTACATGGAGAACGGTAGCTTAGATGCTCACATCTCTCGCAAGAAAGGCAAACCATCTCTCCCATGGTTCATCAGATTCAAAATCATCTACGAAACCGCTTGTGGATTAGCTTTCCTCCACAACTCAAAACCAGAGCCCATAGTCCACCGTGATCTCAAACCAGGCAACATTCTCTTAGACAAAAACTTCGTTACCAAAATAGGCGACGTTGGACTTGCCAAACTCATATCAGAGGAGGCACCAGAGAGTGTCACGGTTTATAGAAACTCGACTATTGCGGGTACACTATACTACTTGGACCCTGAGTACCAAAGAACCGGCACATTCAGACCGAAGTCAGATCTTTACGCATTTGGAGTCATAGTTCTCCAGCTTTTAACCGCTAGACATCCCAACGGTCTTCTTTTCTGCGTGGAGGATGCGGTGAAGAGAGGCTGTTTGGGAGATATGTTAGATGGATCAGTAAGAGAATGGCCCATGGCTGAAGCTGAAGAACTAGCTCGTATAGCAATCAAGTGTTCGCAGCTTAAATGCAGGGACAGACCGGATCTTGATACACAAGTCTTGCCTGCTCTCAAACGGATTCTTGAATCTGCTAATAGTAGACTCAAGACTGAACAAGCTAAAGCACGACCACCAGCTCACTATTATTGTCCAATTCTTAAGGTACACCCAAGAAAACGACCATATATTAATGAATGAAGTCTCACATATATAGTTAGAAAAAAAAAATTAATATTTAAATGGTTAAAGCCAATCCATCTATAATCAATTGGTTTTAAGTTGAAAACTCACGAACGTATAGTTAGGGCCAATCTATCTATAGTCAATTGGTTTTAAGTTGAAAACTCATGATAATGGCACGTATTCAACATATATAACTCTCTCGAAATTGTTCTTAAAAATGTTTTGATTGGTTGTGATTTTAGGAAATAATGGAAGATCCACAGATAGCAGCAGATGGGTTCACATACGAAGGAAAAGCTATAAGAGCATGGATTCAGAACAATCAAAGTGTGTCTCCTGTGACTAAAAATAGGCTCAGACATTGCGAACTCACACCAAACCATACTCTCAAATCGGCTATACAAGAGTGGCGATCTCGTTCTGGTTTAGACCTCTCCACTACTACTCTTGGCTAGTCCTGATCACAAACATTTATTTAAATGTGTATATACAAAATACCCTGAACTTGTTTGAATCAGGTGTATCATCATCATTTTGTCTCTTCTCTTTTATATTGTGGTAAAAAAAAAATAAGAAGGCAAAAACATTTGAAGCCAGTAAACAGATGATTTGCTTCTTGTTTATTTTCTCAGTTAGATATTGAATGGGTATAACATAATAAAGGTAGGATCCAAACACACAATTAAAAGGTGAGACTTGAACAATATTAAGAATCTATATCTACAAAGAAGAGAGACTTAATTAAGAATCAAACTTGAGTAAACTCAAGAGCGTTTGCGTCTGGATCACGAGTGAATATCACTGGCCTCCCTGACTTACTCATAGTATACTCAATCCCTACAACACAAACAAAAACCATCTTCGTTTTTTTTTTTTTTTGAACCACTTAAATTAATTAGAAAGAAGAAAGTTAGTTGGGAGCTATAAGTGCTCCATCAACTAAAGTCATTACATCAGCCATCAGGGCTCTCTTTGCTAATCTGTCTGCCTGGACATTCTTGTCACGAGAAATCCAGGAGAAAGATACAAATTCAAAGATGGAAGCAAAAGACAAAATATCTGCTACAATTCCATAGATCTCCGGATTACATCCTCCACGAGTAACACACTTTATCAACCATCTTCGTTTAGAACAAACAAAAAAGAAGAAGAGCAAAATGTTTATATATGTACCAGCTTTGTCCAAGATCATTTTAAGATTTGAAACGTCACGGATTGCAATACAAGCGTGTCGATCACGGCCTCCGTGCTCAGGTCTACCTGTTAACAGATCTGGATTTGGAAGCTCCATTAAATGAATCATCTCAGAACCTACCCATAACCATGCTCCTCTATATGGAAGCTTATCATGTGGCCTTGCCTCGTTGATCTCAAGGCCTAAAATGTTCTGGTAAAATTCTAGTGACCGTTCTAAGTTCTCGCAGAGCAGACCAACGTGGTGAACCCCAACAACTCCATAATCTATAGAATCAACAATCTAACAAGTCTTATTATTATCATCAAATGTTAATTTTTAATCCCAAAACAAGCCTAAAGTAGAAACTGTTTTAGTTACCGATTTGTTTCTTAACCTCTTTCTCTTGTACCACACTGGTGGTAGCTTCAGCTGACCCGTGTGCTTGATTAGCCTTCAAGCTACATAACCTTTCTTTTATAAGATTCTTGTTCTTATGAAACTCAAATCGTTCTTTCCTAGAAAGATGATTCGTGCATATCACCTTCCATTTTACCAAAACGATTCCTCATCAGTCCAACAAAAATATAATCGAGTTTGAAATGATACCCACAATCTTAGCTTCTCAATCTCAAAATCTTGAAAACTAAACAAAAGACTACAAAACTTTATCAGTCTACGACCATCTGGATAGGTAATCACCCTGAAAGATCTAGTTTCTGGAAATCGAGTAACTTAAACGATGAAGTGGCTGTAAGAAACGTAAGTGTTATACCTTTGGACTCCGTAGATCAAGTGAAACTGAAGGTTTGAAAATAGACGCCATCATATAAGAGAAGCTTCGATGTCCGTCTGTTCGTGTTCTAGCCAAAATAAATGGATGTCTTTGCTTCATTCTTTTTAGGGGTTTTTGCAGAATTGACCTAAAACTTGAAGTCAACCACAAAACTAACCTCATTTTTTTTTGGAACTTTATTTTGTTCAATTCACCCCACAAGTTCATATAATTTACGAAAATGCCATCAATTTTTTTTTTTCGAAAATAACATATTTACTCTCTCACCCTCATCATCTTCAAGTAATTATAAGATTGTCATTGTCATCAATACTTCAACAACCATGAACAACCAATTTTGAAGCTCTTAATGCCTCCAAATTCCATTTACCCTTCTTCTTTCTCTATTCTCATGAACTAAACAACACATTACAACACATATCTCTCACTTTCTCTCCACAATGAGCTAAAAAAATCCAAGATTTTGATTCTACATTTTTTAGGGTTCATATAGTCAAAGAAATTAAAGATTCAAGGTGGATTACCTTTGTTTGAGCTCCTGAGTGCTTGATTCTACATTTTCTAGGGTTCATATAGTCAAAGAAAGTGCTCTCACCAATTGAAGGTATGAAATCAAGTTATTTTTTGCGATCTGTTCGTCCAGACGACTGAAATTTCAATCGTCTGCTTTCGTCCAGTCAACGCAGAAGTTATATTTGCAATTGACTTTGCAATTTGTTTCCAGAGACGACTGAAATTTCAGTCGTCTGCTTTATTTTGGCTACAAAAAAATATCTTAAGAATCTAGACAACTGATATTTCAGTCGTCGTATGTTAGTTTTGCATTTGACTAAAAAATTTCAGAATTTTGACTTTCTAGGACGACTGAAATTTCAGTCGTCTGCGAAAAAACTGAAATATCATTTTTTTATTGGAACGCACGACTTACAATAGGTTAGTTTTGCAATTGTGAAAAAAAACTTTAACTTTCTAGACGACTGAAATTTCAGTCATCCCTGGGACGACTTACATTTCAGTCGTCCAGGATTTTATTCCGAGACTCTGGTCAAACCTCGTATATCCTAGACGACTGAATTATAAGTCGTCCCAGGGACGACTGAAATTTCAGTCGTCTAGATTTTTTTAAATATTGAAGTTTGTTTTCGCAATTGCAAAACTAACCTACGACGACTGAAATGTAAGTCATCAAATTTCAATAAAAAATTGATATTTCATTTTTTCGCAGACGACTGAAATGTAAGTCGTCCTAACAGACGACTGAAATGTAAGTCGTCCTAAAAAGTCAAACTTCTGAAATATTCTAGTCAAATGCAAAACTAACCTTCGACGACTGAAATTTCAGTCGTCTAGATTTTTTTTTATCAAACATACCCAGACGACTGATATTTCAGTTGTCCCAACTAACTAATTTCAAAGTCAATTGCAAAAATAACCTCTGCGTTGACCAGACGACTGAATGTTTAGTCGTCTGGACGACTTACATTTCATTCGTCTGCTTCGATCTCTAATAAACTTTCTTTTTCTTTCTTCTATGTTTGCTAATGTGTTTTATTTTTACTATCTCAGATGATGCATCAGTTACGTGCAGTGTATGGAGAATGGTTGTTGGAAGATGGTTGTTGGAATTTTGTGGTTGATCGTTTCAAAGGAGCAATATTGTTTTTATTGAATGAAGATTCAACACATGCTGAACTTGTGGCAATGGCTCAAGAAGATTATAACCTGGACATGAGCACAGTCACTGTGGAGATTAGCTACTCATTACCAGCTCCAGACATTCCTCCTATTCATGTTACAAGTGATAGACAAGTTCGAAACTTGCTCGAGATAACCAAAACGCAAGAAGTACGTCTTTGTGTATCAAGCTTTTGCAAGATGAGAACGGTTTCAGAGGAAAGGGTCTTTAGACGAAGATGGATGTTATTTATATTTTTATTTATGTCTTTAGACGAAGATGGATGTTATTTATGTTTTTATTTATGTCTTTAAACGAAGATGGATGTTATTTATGTCCTTATTTATGTCTTTATTTATGTCTTTAGTACTCTCTGGATGGTATTTATGTCTTTATCTTTAAGTCGTCTGTGAAGTCTTTTTTCTGGACGACTTTCAGACGACTTAACTTTAAGTCGTCTGTGAAGTCTTTTTTCTAGACGACCTTCGATTCAGTCGTCCAGGACTTCACAGACGACTTAAAGTTAAGTCGTCTGAAAGTCGTCTAGAAGAAAGACTTCACAGACGACTTACAGACGACTTAGTTGGATGTTATATTTTTATTTATGTCTTTAGACGAAGATGGTTGTTATTTATGTTTTTATTTATGTCTTTAGACGAAGATGGATGTTATTTATGTTTTTATTTATGTCTTTAGACGAAGATAGATGTTATTTATGTCCTTATTTATGTCTTTATTTATGTCTTTAGTACTCTCTGGATGTTATTTATGTCTTTATCTTTAAGTCGTCTGAAAGTCGTCTAGGAGAAAGACTTCACAGACGACTTCAAGACGACTTAGTTGGATGTTATTTATGTCCAGACGACCTTACTTTCAGTCGTCCACAAGACCTTAGTACACAAAAATATTTATTATCATCCGAAAACACAAGTCAAACATTAGTACACAAAAGATTCATCCTAGGTTCAAACATTACTTTACATTATCATCCGAAACAAAAGATTCATCTTAGGTTCAAGTTCAAATACAACAGTACACAAAAGATTCAAGTACAAAGACAATAGTACACAAAAGCATCAAATTCATGGATCATACGTTCCCATGTTCTTATCATTGTCTTTGTTTTCCCATTCATGGATCAAATTCAGCTCTTCATATATCTCCACCGCCATCTTCTCCCTGATCAACTTCCCATTTCTAGAACAAAGCGCTTTGGGAAAGTCCATCCCAAGAGCATGACACTCAATGTACTTCAGAGCGAAGGGGCCACAATCACCACTTCGGCACTGAGGTACTCCAGTTGTTACTCTCTCATAGGTGTAAGGCTCCAATGTGTATCGTGTCTTTTGTTCGTCGGTCACAGAGCACTCACATAGCAGATAAGGGACCATGTAAATAAAAGGCTCCATTACCTCATCGAGTTCAACGGCTGAAATATGCCTGATAATGCTGTCCCAGACGACAATGTGCCTATTAGGGATTGATATCCATATAGAAATCCAATGGGTGTCATTGTAGTTCACAGGTGCATAGATATCATCCACATCCTCCCCCCAAACCTTCATAGATTGGCAAAAAGAAGGTACCTCGCCTGAATGATAATTCCACGCCCCACCCGAGAGTTTTCTTGCTAAACCGTTGAAATCTCCGATGTCGTTCTTAAATTCATGGTAATCCGCCCTCCACTGCCGAGCGAACACATGATCAAGAAAGCACATTCTCGAGCTCCTGAACCAGTCTGGATGGTCTTGGTACTGTTGCCTCAGTAAATTGATAAAAGCATCCATTTGCTGCAAATAAAACAATACAAGTCAGATAAAAGCATAAAGTTAAGTCGTCTGAAAGTCGTCCAGAAAGAAGACTTCACAGACGACTTAAAGTTAAATCGTCTGAAAGTGGTCCAGAAAGAAGACTTCACAGACGACTTAAAGTTAAGTCGTCTGAAAGTCGTCCAGAGAGAAGACTTCACAGATGACTTAAAGTTAAGTGGTCTGCAAGTCGTCCAAAAAGAAGACTTCACAGACGACTTAAAGTTAAGTCGTCTGAAAGTTAAGTCGTCCAGAGAGAAGATTTTCAGACGACTTTCAGACGACTTAGTTGGAGTTACTTATAAGTTGGAGTTACTTACATGGTCGGTGAACCATTCTAATCAGTCTAAGTCGTCTGAAAGTCGTCCAGATAGAAGACTTCTCAGACGACTTAAAGTTAAGTGGTCTGAAAGTCGTCCTGAAAAAGACTTCACAGACGACTTTCAGATGACTTAGTTGGAGTTACTTATAAGTAAAAAAATAGAAGACTTACATGGTCGGTGAACCATTCTAAGGGGGTCCGGATGACATGATAAAACCGACTTGGACATTTTCGTGGTTTTTTGTCCAGAGGCCGTTTATATGCCCTGAAACACAAAAATAATCAATCATTTTTTCCAGAGGCAGTTCATAGGATATTAAAGCGACTTACGGATCAGTTTGGAGCCATGTAGTGAGTTCATCCGACTTCTTCATGTCAACTTCAGCAAAAGGATCATAACCTTTGCCAACAATTTTGTTTGGAATGATCTGTTTGACAGTGCTGTTTCACTTGAAAGGAGTTTGTTGAGTGGGAGCAAGTTTCCAATCTCGCTCACTTTTTGCACGGAGTTTCACCTTGTATGCTTCCTTCTTTGTCTGCCTCCTAGCTTCCGTGAGCTCTAAATCTTTGGCAGTGGGTTTGTCCAAAACGAGAAGACTGGCTTCACCATCACCACTCGGGTCCTCTACATTTTCCTTCACCACCAGCTCTTTCGAGTCTTTCGAGGGAGTATGACACTTTTCTTTCGCCTCATTCACACTTTCACTCTGCAATGTCGATATACAAAATGTGTTTAAAAACAGACCACAAAGGTTCAGAAGCAAAGGATACAATGGTTAAAAACTCTACACTTAAGCCTATTTTGTCATCTTCTTAACACGTTGCATAGTGATTCTGGTACTAACCCCGGGTTTTTCTGGATTTGCTGAAGTACTACCCACCATCTTCTCCAGATCTCCCACCTTCTTCTCCAAAGCTCCCACCCTAGACCCCACCAACTGTATCTCCCTAAGGCACCTATCAAACCCATCCTTCATGGCATCAGATATGTC